GTGGGAAAGCAAGTTCTTGAGGGACCAAGGTCAAATTCATTCAACTCCGGATTAAATCAATAATACCGTGGGATGAAAATGGCATATGGGTAGGGACCACACCCTGTACCCCCACCTCCTGGCATAACCCACCTCCTGGCTACTAAATCCCCCAGCCCCTATATTCATGCCATTGTCCCCACCTTTGGTGGGTCACTTTCTTCAAATTGGAGAAATAAAACAACTATAGAGTTTTTAAAGCTTAAAAAGAAGATTCAATTACATTAATTTTGAATTCTGTTCAAAAAACTGAACAAATGGATACCGAACATTCATGCATCCCTTCAGTGCAGAGTCAGAGCCACAATAAATGGTGATGGACTGGCAACTTACAATAAACCTCCTTCTGCTGTCTGGCACAATCATGGTGTCCCAAAAATTGCTGCAATACTGACTATGAGAAAAAATCTGCTCAGAAGTGCAAAGCAGCAAAAATCCACACTTGACAATGGGCCAAATTGTCAAGAAATGTTGGGGAGATCCAAAGATGTGAGTATATTTGCTTTCAGAGTGAAAAAGCAGTGAAGTACAACTTATGTTTGTTTTCTGTATCATAACAGGTTCTCAATGAGCTTTCAATGGGTTCAGAGGTCATTGGAAAAGAATACCTTGCACAACTTCCATGTGCTGAGAACCTGGCACAAAGTTAGTACTTATGTCCTAATTTTATAGCAGGATGATTCAACTCAATTCTTAGCCTTTTTTCGACAGTTGGATGAGCTGAGAGAGCAGCCAACTTTCCAAGTCCACCAGCAAGTGCACTTGCTAACATAAACTTTGATGTGATCAAGAATGAACTAGAAATGGAAAGTGGCAATTCATTCCTTGTGGGAGATTCTGGCCCTGATGATCCTCAACACGTGGTTGTCTTTGCTACACAGGCTGGCCTTCGGGCTTTAATAAAAACATGGAACATATTTGTTGATGGCACATTCTGGGCGGCACCAGCTCTTTTTCATCAGCTTGTCAGTTTGCATTGTCATCATGGGACAGGTTTTTCCTGCAGCTTTTGCTTTGCTTCCAACTAAAGATGAGCAAACATATACAACCATGCTTGGACTCTTACTGTCAGCAATGTTTTGACAGTATCAAGAGTGGTCTTACGCTCCCCACTAACTATATTTTCAAACCTGAATTTCTATCTGACTTTGAGACAAGATTATTGGCTTCCCTGTGTAATTATTTATATATGTCAGTGACCAGGGGCTGCTATTGTCACTAGGGGTGGTGGAATTAGTCGTAATTTCAAAACTGGCTTATTGTCATATCCAGCCTCCCCAGGAATTATATTGTGAAAAAATCTTCCCTTTCTGCAAAACTGGCCCAATGTTGTACTGCTAAAAAATCCTGAAATTTTTCAAAAAATTATTGTTCTGAAAAACCAGATTAATCTTGTACAATGGTAAAGGAAAAATGTTGTTTCTTAAGAACTGGAACAACCTCATATGCCTGAACTGGAGTATTGTTGTCAAGATAAAAATGGAATTATCTGGTACATTAAAATTTTCCCTGTTCCCCTACAATACCTGATTTATGAAATAGACTACTGGGACAATAATTGTATGAAGAACATCCCTGTTCCCCTAAAATACCTGATTTATGGATTAGGAGACATCTGTCCAAATCCTGTTAGATATTGTAAAAACATCATGGTTAAAAGAACAAACCAAGTATAATTCTTTTTTGGCTTTCCTGAAAATTTTTTAGCAACCTTTGTGTGACATGAGTGGAGAACTGCACCTCCACTCATGTCACAGGCTGCTAAAAATGTGTCAGGAAAGCCAAACAAAATGTTTAACCCTGTTCCAAGTCCTTGCTTGTACCAGATGTACGAGGAAGGGCCAGTCTACATAGGACAAGGTTATTCCATATTCATCATTACAAGGAAAGTCCAGTTTTTGCAAGACAGGGTTGTTCCAATTTTAGGAAAAAGAATATGTTGACAATTTTATTACAGTTTAGCAGAAAAAATTTCCAAAATGCTATGTTATTCCTGACAATGACACTCCTGACAACATTAAATCTCCACACATTATTCCAGCATGATGAGGTTAGTCCTGGCAACATTATTCCAGCCACCCTTTCACTATTCTCAGTGTATCTGTAAGGGACTGCCACGCGCACGCGAACGTTGTGCATGAAACTAACAAGTTAACTTAATTAAATTAAATAAAAAGAACTCCGCGAAACGACAAAAACTCGACAGAGATAGAATCAAAAAAACAAGAACTCATGGGAAATCCTGCGCAATTTCCCATTGTGCAATTCTTTTCTTCATCCACAATTTCCGCGTTACAAACAACACAGTCTTTGCTAGCCTCTGGTTGCGATCGGATGCTCATTTTTGTGATTGAATTTTGTCTGAATTTTGCCTGTTTGATTCAATCAATTGTTTCAAGTTTTCGTTACTAAGTTAAAACTTTTTGAATTCTTCATTTGAAATAAACATCAATTTTAACGTTGGGGCTTTTACCAAAAAGCCCCCTGCCGTGTTCCCGGCGGATCGTGTGTTTTTCTTCAATTTTACTTTACTTTTTGATCTTTGTGATCCATTCATCACAAAAGTGGTAGCAGAGCAGTAAAATTAAAAGAGTAACGATCAAACGGTAAAAATAATATATATATATTTAATATTAAAAGAAAAGTGCAAAGAAAAAATGAGTATGGCACCCCCGAAAAAAGGAAGACCTTCAAGCAGGGGGGCTGGAAGACCCTCAAACAGGGGGGTTAGATGACCTACAACAAGAGCGACGTCCGCACACACAAGCATTGCGACCAACAAAAACCCGCAAGGGGTAAGTCCAAACGATTTGAATATTTTTGTCGAAGAAGTAGAAAACAAACAAAATACAAACTTAAATATAGAAGAGAATCAGATACAAGAAAGCAAAAACGAAATACAAACCCATCCAAGGGAAATGGAAGTCAATAATAACAAACATAACGAACCAATAGAAGTCAACGTTCAAGTACTAAACGAAGCAAGAACTAATACTAACATACAAGAAAGAAATGAACCAACAAACACAATGCTGAAAACAATTAAGCAAATCATAATTACGATACTCATTAAAATAGCACAACTAATAAAAATGGGAGACAAACATGCAACAATACAAAACGAAGAACACAAACGAAAGGAATTTGAAAATATATAAAATAAGCTGTCAGAACTGCTCACACTATTAGCATCAGCAGAAAAAGATGAACTAGACATCGAGACACAACACAAAATCGAAAACTTACAAGATGAATTAACCAACATAGCTATACAGCCTATAGAAGAAGTAATAGACAATTGGAACAAATTAAGACCTACATCAAGCACAATAATAGGAATTAAATTACCAAGCCTAAGAAATATGCCGCCAAGCGTACAAACACAGTTACCATCCATAAGCGGAGTAGCAACACAACCATCAACTTCAGGTGCATATATAAGACATTCATTTGCACACAATGTAACTCAGCTAACAACGTTGAACAAAGAATCAACTATTTTGAACAAAACGGACAATTTAAAAGCACTAGGATTAGAGGTGGAAGAAATGAAGAATCCACTAAAATAGGAATTAAAAAGATACGGAACAAGTAATTTTATAGACTTTGATGGTCAAAATGCATCTACATTCATTAAAAACTATGGAAAAACAATACAATTTGAATTTGAAAAATTCAATGGAAATCCAGATGATGAACAGTCCTTCAAAAGAGTATGGACTCAATTTTGCTTTATACACAAAGCACCACAAAATCAACTCAAACCAAAGGAAAGAATAACATTATTTCTGATGCACCTTGACGGTCAAGCAAAGAAGAATTACATACAATACCAAGGAAGAACAACTGAAAATGATTATTTAGGTATGTTACAAACCACATTTGATGAATATGGAAACGTCTTAAAAGTAAGGAAACAACTTATACAAGATATTGAAAACCTACCATATCCAAATGGGACCTTTGAGCAAGCAGCAGAGTACATGAGAGATTTAATACAAATAATTGTTAACCTAAACAACGTTAGTTCCGATAGAAAATGAAATCATGAAGAGATATGGCCCTCAATTGTTGATCATTTAAGACACAAAACATTTTTAGAAACGCTGAAACACTCTATAGCCCAATCATCAGATGTGACAGATGAAATGCTAGATCAATGGGAAGAGGATTCCAAAACAAAATATAGATGGTTAGCAAGTTACTTTGCAGATAACGCAAAGACAAATACAAACAATGAAAAGACACTAACATTTAGAATCAGGGAAAGAACACCAATGAACCTTCAGAATGTAAGTAAACCTACGAATGAAAGTAATAAAGTAAATGAAAAAACTCAAAACACTGAACAAGTAACAAAGGATACAACCACAACACAGTAAGGACTCCGCCTTACACTCGGACGCGACATCTGGTGGCCAAACCGTGAAACCGCGAATGTGCAACAACCCACCCACTCGCGAATCGTTATCAGGCAAGAGATCTGGGGGGAAATCGGAAGGAG